TTTGCTCTTACTCATGAACTTTTGAGCCATTGACATTTTGCAGCTTATAACGTATTCTCTAAAAATCTATTTTCTCTTGCTTCTCACCATGCTACAAATATTGTCTCTTCAACCTCTGGTGTGCAAGTACTTAGATGGTCTTATTCCATCCATCTCTACAATACATGGGGCTCATTTGCCTCTTCCTCTCTTTTTTTTTTCTGGGGTGAAAAGTATACCCTGGAAGAGATGTGGTCTCCTGTGGGTGTGCCCCTATGGAGCCCCTGCCATTGGGTGTCACACTCCACAAATTTCCTTCGTGTGCTTTCTGAAGGGAACTTCAATGTGGAATTCTAGCTTACCCTGTGTGAAGAGGTGTGTATTGTCTCAGAAGTTAACATTTTCCTTACCTCAAAATGTATTTCTGATATACATTCACCTCTTCATACACATTCCCACCTTTCCTTTCCTTTAATATAATTTTAACATAACAGCAAATGTAAAACTTTTCGACAGTGTACCTGATGACGACAAAACCTTGTACATTTGCTGTTATGTTAAACTTATATTAAAGTTTTTCTTCATTACCCATTCAAGCTGTATCCAACCATTATTAGTCTCAAAGTGGGTTCCTCGTCATCAAATTTAAATTTCCTGCTTGATCCTTCCATTATTAAGTGGACCTATCTAATACTTTTGAGGATATAAGTTCACCTGAAAGCACCACAAGTGTAAGGATAATTGTGAATATTTTGTTATATAGAAATGTCATTAATGTGGTATATGGTAAGACATTAATTTTTAATGTCGGAACTTAATTCTGAAATACTTGGATTTTAGGTTCATAATTTCAAGGTAATCTGGTTTGTCTAATAACACAATTCCTTTATCTGGACATGTTACGATTGTGTGGAAGCTCATTTAGAGCTGAAAATTCTTCATTTTTAAGGGAGAAAGAGTGGTGAGAAAAATTATGATTGTGAAAAGATCAAAATGCAAGTGTTTTGAATTTAGTCTTAAATAAGTCTTAAGTTAGAGTAGGACTTATTTAAGACTAAATTCAAAACCCTTGCATTCTCATCTTTTCACAATCATAATTTTTCTCACCACTTTTCCTCCCATAAAAAGGAAGAATTTTTCAGCTTTAAAAGAGCTTTCACACAATCCAAACATAATTGTAACATGCATGCACAAAGGAAATGGAGTTATGTTATTAGATAAACCAGATTACTTGGATTTGTGAATGTAGAATGATTAAAATATGCTTATCTGGTAGAAGCACTTATCATTCTTAGATTTTCTTAAAGATAATTTTGTCATATTGTATGGAGTGGTTTCTGTTGATTTTTTTGTTATTAAAAACTTGATAATGACATGTATTAGTACTTTTGTGGTTTTCTAAGGGTAAACTGATTTCCACAAAGACTATTAAGTAGGTCTGCTTGTAATGGGAGGATCAGTAAAATATATCATTAAATGGTACTGAATTTAACTAAAATGACTGAGTTTTAAGCTAAAAGATAAGGAGAGTGGACACAATGTGTAACATAAAATGAGAACAATATTTATCAGAGACATAAGATGTAGTGTGTGTACTAGCAGTGGACATTGAATGGTCACCTTTCACTAAAATTATCAGTTGATCAACAGAATTCTTTTCCCTCTAGATGCCTTTCTGTCAATAAATGCATTTGAGGTCCCATGTAGACAGTTTAAACCTAATGTTTCTTACTTAAAGTGCTTATGCCCCCCCCCCTGAAAATTGCTCACAGTATCATTTCAGCAACAGTTAAAAATTAACTGAAACTAACATACCTTTACCACTAATGTGGTTAATGAAAACTAAAAAGAAAATGGACAAAATGAATGAAAACAATATGTTAATGAAACAGAAAGAAAAACTGAAAAAATGTTTAAAATAACTAGTGACTTTGAAAAACTATGGTTTCTGTTTGGAAAACGTTTTTCAATATTTTATCCACTGTTACTATTGAAAAACTAATAAGCTTATCATAATGTGCTGTAGGTGTGTCCTACAAGGGCATAAATAGTAATAACCCAATGCACATTGAGTGTAACAAAGCAAAAAAAAAGAAATTATATTTATAGTACAGACTTGCCACTGGCTTCACCAGTGGTGTTTATTATTTCATTTAAAAAGATTAGGATTTTTTGTTTATTTACTTGCTCCTTTCATATCCTGTGTTTATAAAGCCTAAAAAAAATGTAAATGGAATCACATCTATGAAAAATGTAGCATGCACACATACACACACAGAGTAAATTGAAATACCTAATATTTCATTTTGTTTTATGCTCGGACAGCATGAGTTTGCTTATGCAATGTTCCAGAACGAGATGCTGCTGCAACAATGATATTCTTTGATACATTTTCACACATATGTGGTTGAGTTTGAATGTAGTTTACCATAAAAATATTTTTATTTATTGTCAAAAATGTTCAAGAAAGTACTGAAATCCTACTCCAGCTACCAAAATATGTGCCAGAATGGCATTTAATGAGGCTGTAGTACTGTGTACTCAGCAAAAATGTTGGATTTTACTATAGTGATTAGTGCTTATCACATGACTGGCCATTCTCCTTCAACATAGGGGAATCTGTAACACTCAAAATATCATCTGGCTTATGATTGAAGGACACTGCTGTTGATATTCTTACACAGTGTGCAGCATTACAGAGAATAATGAAGGAATAAAAGCAGCTAGAATAAAATGAACTTAATGGTTTACTGGATGTTATGTTATGCAAAACGTATAGATTTATAATAAATATAAAATTCTGAAAAATTCTACATTAACAGGTTTGCAGCATACGTGATTTCTCTAATTATGCAATAGGAACGTAAAGCCTCATTGTGAACTCTGCCTTAGATACAGTAATTTTATGGCTTTATGTTATGTATTATGACAGAATGACTGCATTGAGAACTTTCTCTTGAATGCACCAGCAGTGGTACATAATGTTCTATCTTTACCCATTTGAGCTTTGGCTGTCAAGTGCCACTGGTGGTGCACACTATGATTTAAGTAATAATAATCAAATGATCATATGTACCACCGATGGTGCACGATGTCATGAACACATTAAGATAAGGAGGTAGAAAATGCATGGTGTGTGTAAATGCCAGACCTTCATTTCAGCAGAAAATCAAATTTACTAACTGGACCTACATTACAACTCCAATTACCTATGAGACAATTGGCTTGCCATATTGATAGACATTAGTCTAATTATTATTCCATCTAGTTAAACTGTAGTTTCAGTGTTTTGATAGACTAACACAATAATTTCTTTCCTTGCTTTATTATATGCAAAATGTATATTATTTTTGTTAAGAGACAAAATTTTATGTTTGTTTGTATGCTATATTTTTTTGTAGGCAGATTCTGTTAAACAAGACCGATGTCTGTAGGTTTACTTTCTTCTTAGAATTCTTCTCAAGAAGTCGATAAGCCGTCTTAACGTTGGTAGAACAACGGGTAAAAGTTGTAGATAGTGATGAGTTGGCCGACGAGTTTCGAATGCGTTCTGCATCCATTATCAAGGATGCATGTTGTGTTATTTGTGATTACTGTTGGTGGATATTTATAAGTATGGGTACGCAGGTGGTGGTATCCAACACTCCACCAATTAAC